TTGCTGGTGGCCTTGGTGGTCGCGAGGAAGCGCGCGAGGAAGTCGTCGTACACGTCGGCGTGCACGAGGATGCGCGAGGTCGCCGTGCAGATCTGGCCTTGGTTCGACATGATGCCGAGGTGGGACCAGCGCGCGGCCTGGTCGAGGTCCGCGTCGGCGAACACGAGCAGCGGCGACTTGCCGCCCGTCTCGAGCGTTATGTTCTTAAGCGTCTTGGCCGCGAGCCCCATGATAGCGGCCCCCGTCGCCGTGCTCCCCGTGAACGCGACCTTGTCGACGAGCGGGTGCGCTACCAGCGCTGCGCCCGCGGTCGCGCCGAGCCCGTTGAGGAAGTTCACCACGCCCGCCGGGAACCCCGCGCGCTGGATCAGCGTGCCGAGCACGAGGATGCTGAGAGGGGTCTGCTCGGCCGCCTTGAGCACCACTGTGTTGCCGCATGCGAGCGCGGGCCCGAGCTTCCACGTCGCCATGGACAGCGGGTAGTTCCACGGGATGATCTGGGCGACCACGCCGATGGGCTGGCGCAGCGTGTACGCGAACTTCTCGTACGTTGTGCTGATCGTCTGCCCGTACGTCTTGTCGGCCCACCCGGCGTAGTACCGGATCACGCCCACGGCCTCGACGAGGTCAACTTCGTAGGCCTCCGCGTACGTCTTGCCTGTTTAGTTCGGGAAGTCTCAGTTATCTAACCTAGGGAGAGATCTGAGGTGGGGGGGAGGCGAGGTGAGTGTGTCCTTACCGTTATCCCAGGCGTCGATCGTAGCGAAGATCTCGCGGTTCTCTTCCATCAGGTCCGCCAGCTTCCACATAAGGGCACCGCGGTCGGTGGCCGAAAGCCTCTTCCATGAAGGGTCCTTCAGCGCCTTGTGCGCCGCCTTGACGGCCTTGTCTACATCTTCTGCCGAGGCGGCCTGAACCGTCGCGATCTTTTCCTCAGTACTGCGCCGGACCTGGCGTCAGCGTGCACTTTTCATTTTGAGGGTAAATGATAATATGGACAGAGTTCTTACGCAGGGTCAATAGAGTCGATGGTCGAGCCGTCGGAAGACTTCACGAATTCATTGTTGATGAAGAGCCCGGTGGGCTGAGTGTACTTCACGCCGTTGGGTGCAGTCAACTCGACGGATAGATCCGACGCCATCGTCAATGAATTTTATATGTAGTATGTAGGTAGGTAGGTAGGTAGGCAGTTCGGATCGAAATAAGTGAGCTATTCTGCTGGGAAGTTGAAATGTGCTTGCTCTTCGGTCACAGTTCATTGACGTAGATAAGTAGGTAGTTTTTTGATAACCCCTTTCTTGGTCTTACCGTTCACTATGGAATGACTTATGCGCAACTATGGCATGGTTTTGGTACTTATCAACTACGGTTATCGTAGGCAGAGTGCCTCTCTATCTTCAATACAACTTAGAAACTAGAACTACCTGACTAGTCGGCGCTTATCCTCCGAATACCGGGCTATTGATAGGAGAGACGCTATCACAAGCAGGGGGGTGAGAGGAGGGGAGAAGAAGAAAAGTGAATAAGAGCCCTGCTCCCCACATCCCCATCCCTTACACGGAACCGCATCGACTTACTGAATAAAGAGTAGTGGACTATGTACATTGATCCTCTACGGATGTCCGATTGCCCCGTTTATTCAGAAGTGCCTCACAGAAACATTAATACTGTATTTGTTGGTGATAAATTTTCTAGTAATAGTTAATGGTAACGCAATAACTACGGGATGCCTTGCCAGATTGAGAAAGACTGAGCGTGCCAATTGGTCACAAGCCTTGGCTAATACCAGGGTGCTTAAGTAGATGGGGGGCAGATAGATAGACAAGACTCTTGCACAGCACTAAAAATAACATACATAGGCAGGTCAACTACTACATATGTAGTGACCTAGGTTAAGTAGTTACGGTTTCTACACTAGTCTCCTGAAGTCTCTCAGGTATAATTGAAGTAAACCTCGAATTAAAGCAGTGAGACTCATGTTGATAAGCTAGTATGCACGTGGCACAGTTATCATACTTACTATACATCAATCTATTAAATGGATCCGGGTGGGAGTCTATAAGTTATAACTTTGGGGGCTTGAGCGAAACTTCAATTTTTGTTAACCACAGCACAACATGAATGTAGTATCAATACTGAAGAACCAATTTACAAAGCTGGTATGCATATTGTATAGTATAAATAACAGAACTCGTATCAATATACCGTATATACCATATAAGGGCTAAATGCCAACAGGCAATTACCGTTCGCTTTTGCCTCATCATAATATTGTATGCACAAATATAGATTCGATGCTGCCATTACATGTAGCACAATAAATAGGTAAGCAGGCCTTTTAAACATAGCATAGTCTTATAGAGTAGTAGCTAGCATCAATGATATCTGAGATACCAGACACATACTACATAACGACCCTATGTAACACCCATAATGTGTTCAAACTGATGTTTCCAATTATCAAATCATCGATAACTTACCTATAACATCGTGCAATAAGAGCAGATAGTTTAGTCCTGTCCCCGAAATCATGAAACCATCGCGTCTAGCCGTTCAAGAAAATTTACCGTAATGACCTGGATCAAACCAATTACGGACATTTGGTGATTATACCTAGGAGGTATCATTGCGTTGAGTACTACCTAGCAGGTCAGATGCTTTCCAGCACTTCCATTGTAGGCTTATAAGACTGCTCTCCTATATATATATATATATATTTCATGTTTGGACATGGGGTTAGAAATGTAGGGTGCGAAGCCAGTGTTTATTGTCTAATTCCCAAATATCAATTATTTTATGTAGCGCAGATATAACGATATTTCATCCACCATCTCCTACTCTTCTCCATAAATAGAGTAAAAGATATAATAATTCCCTTAACCTTAAGAAGAAACAGGCCTCTAAGAGGAAAAAAAGTACACTTCTAATAGCAATTCTTGTTTTGCCATAGGCTCTCCCCTCTTGATACCCTTGCCTCATCTAATGTCGTGTTGATGACGGCCAGCCTAAGGGGGCGGCAGAGAAGCACGATGCGCCGGCTCACGCTCTTAAGCTGGACCCGTCCGCCCGTGGTCGTGGCCGCCATACCCGCGACCAAGCATGGTCTTTAGAGCCAGCACGCGCAGATGATCGACACGGGCCTGTTCGTCGGCATCGACGGGCCCCGCTCTCCACGCTGCTCCTCCCGTACGTCTTCGTTACGGTGCTGGTGTACGGCGTGGCGACGGCGACAGGCGAGATGAGGCTCGTATCTCCCCGTCCCCGGCTACTGGGGCACGCCGCTGCACGACGGGGGATTTGGATCGCCGTCATGGTCATCACCGTTGTCCTGTGCAATTTTTCCTGCCCGTGTCCCCGTCTACAGGGAGTTCTAGCTAAGGTGATCGGCATCCTCAGCCCTGCTCGTTCTACCCACCGTGCTGTTCTTTGGCGGCGGGCCAAGGAGCTATCAACTGCTCTGCTTATCAAACTGGCACAAGCCTGCGCCGGCCAAGCCGTACATACTAGAGGGGGTTCCGGGCGGCTGGTTCCCATCATAGCGACCACTGCCCTCTCGGTATATGCGTTCGCTTTTGCCCCTGAGCTACTGGCAGCGATGAGCGGTGCGCTGGAGTCGCCGCGGAAGAAAACCAAGAGATGTTTATATCGTCTTGTGCTATTTTATATCCCCAGGTGCACTTGCGGTCGGTGTCATCATTTTAGATTTGCCATCGGGGGGCAGCAGAGTGGCGCAGCGGTTTCCCCGTGGGCGATCCGGTATTCAGGAGGCTGGGACTAGAGTCCTTGGGGATGTAGTAAACGTTTTACTAGATCAGGCGTCCTTGTATATTCCACCGCCGTGCCCGCCGCGGCCTCCTTATTGGCCTTCATGAACAGTAACGTGGGTGCGGCGACTTTCTTTTAGTGGTTTGTCAACATTATTAGCACCGGCAGCTTCCAATCGTGGGTGTATTGCTGTCTCAGTTACTTAGGGTTCAGGTCTGTTTATGAATATAAAGGTGTTACGGACCTGCCGTACTGTTCTCGTTTCCAGCCATACACTGCATGGTTAGGTTAGTGGTATTACTCTCTTCGTTGTAATGTTGATGAGTGGCATGTCAGTTTTCACCCTCCGGGCAGTGGAACATATCGAGTTTCTTGACCTTGTATATCGGGATCCCGATATTTATTGCTATCTATGCAGGCCACAAACTCACGGTACATCAGAATGAGTCTTGGTTCGTTCCTTTAGGGGAGATTAGTTTGAAGACGGGCTTGGGAAAAGTAATCGTGAACGATAAATCTCCTTTGCCGAGTGAGAAATGGTAGGGTTCTGCTTGGAGTGAGAGGTCACTTGATAGTGGAAAGAGGCCGAGACATACCTAACCTAGGTGTAATACAATAACCAAAAGATGCTTCTAGTTTTCAAGTGTTCGCATAGGCCAACCGTCCATGAGAACTTAAGATGTAAGCAGCCTTGTTTGACATCTTGCCAATTGTGGTCCTTATCAAGCCTAGGTAGGTATTTATATAGGTATATATGGCGAGAAGGAGAGAGTGTGTGAAAGAGAGTCAGTTCTATGTAAGTGAGAAGACTGGAAGCATGCACGAGCTTATGATGTCAAATTTCGACATATCGTTTGTTTTGCTACCTACCTAATCTTTGAGCGTCACCCAAATGTGTAGTACTTGATGCTCAGCACTTTCAAGCTACTTCCCCTGGGAATTCAGCATTTTATAGGACTGGTATCGACACCAGGTTTACTCTAAAGGGTAACTCCCTCCCCCTTTGAACAAAAGCATATTAGTGCAACCTGTCGGTATATCGACCACTTCGACAGTTCCAAATCGAAGTTATCAAATAGGAAAAAATGTGAACAGGAAACCCCAATGCGGATGATTCTTTATGGAACCTTTTCGCACACCTCCCTCAGAAGTTGGACTCACTGCTCACAGCATTCAGCTTAAAAAGCCTGAAGCTCTACTACTTAAGGACAAAGAAAGGGTGCGAATTCACATAGGTCCCCTTGGCCTAATGGCTAAGGCGTTTGACTTCTATCAAAACGAAATCAAAAGATTGCCGGTTCGAGTCCGGCAGGGGATGATAAGGCTGTACAATGGGAGCCAATAGAAATTCATGAAATTCTTTTTTTTTTCAGAGTGAAAATTCTTATTTGTTCTGAAAGGCAAACAAAATAAACCTTAGCGTCTAGCCGAAAACAGGAGACTAAAAATCCTCACTAATTCTCATAGGAATCCGTACACAAAAGAATTTTTATTTAGCGTATAAAGCGTCAACTAGGTGGGTATATTTAAAAAGTAAAGCTAGTCTACTTGCCTATATAGATTATAATAAAATATATTTCATCTAACTTTAACAATAAAAATTAAATACTAATTTAGTAGCAAAAAGAAAGCAAAGGGTAAGGTATATTGTGGTTGTTGTAAAAATAATGGAGAGCTGCTATGCAACTGGGCAGCACTTGCACGCTAAATTTATAGTGAACCACGTTACACTAGACCAATACCTACCTACGTTTATTAGCTTTAAATTGATGCACCTGCAGTGATGATGTCAATTAAACATGTTAAGCTTAATACTAGTATCTAGCAGCAACGGGTATTTTATTTCAGTGCACTGGGGGCAGTAACCTTGTCCCCTTTACCTTTCTTTAGAATCCTCTGTTTTTTAAATACTAAGTATCATCATTGATCGGGAGTTTACATGGGGTTATGTGGATTAGGTAAGTAGTCGCTGGTAAATTGAACTCCCTGGCTGACATGCTTCTCTGCCCCTATGCTGATGGATGCTAGTGGCCCAGGACTTTGTAGTGTCTGTCGAAGGATATCCGATGCTGAATTCGAGGACGTATTTCCCGCTATACTCTGAATTAACCTTAGGACATCAGTAGGTGAGTAGCCCATGCCCTTTGGTAAAGACAAATATAACTTACCCTTTGAGTTAGGAGCGCCCAGGTTTAGCCCGTAGACGGTGCTAGGTAGGATTGACAATAAAAGCTAGCAAAGATCTTTTCCAAGCATTATGTAAACACTACTAGCCTAGGTATTTAATAACCAAGAGCGGGGTATAAAAGGAGGGGAAAGTGGTAGAGATCCAAGTCTGTATTTGGCTATCGTCTAATATTCAGTAGACGTCGTCGCCGTATCTTGATATCGCCCTAGCAGTCGAGGTGCACTAGGCTAAAGCCGAATGTATTGATAGAAAGGAGGCGCACGTACTACCTAGGTAGGCATCGGAGTTATCGATGCCTATTATTAAGACGGTATGCCCAGCCGGCTAAAAGTGGGACAACGGAGCCGACCCAGCTCTTCATGACGGCCCCACCATATCTCCGCCACACCGGTCACCGTCCACTGGAGGAGTAATTCGTCGGATACTAACCCCGGCATGTGTTTGAGGGTGATGTAGCTTTGGTAATTTATAAATGAGATATTCTATCTATCTCGTAGATCTTAACGTATAACGTCATTTTTAAGTCCAAAACAGACCTGAGAGAAACTGCTACGTGTATTGCTTGATTATTCAGTCCATCCAAATAGCGGAAAACAAGCTCCTTTCTTAGCCAGCCTACCTATGTACCTACCTACCCAGACAGATAGATAGTTAGGTAGATAAGAAATAATACCATTCCCACTAACAACATGCCGGCCATACGAGAGCTACTTTATGATGACAACCCACACTGATGTAAGGAGTGACCCCGCTGGCGATATACTCAGCAGGGAATGGGAAAAGGGATGGATGATGATGATGATATCGTTAACGTCTAAAGGACGGAATCTATCTACTTAAGTCCGCCAGAACTCAAGTTAAACCAAGTGGTCAGCGAAGGCCGTAACTTAAGTCCTGTAGCTTAATTCCTGGCGGACTTAAGTTAAGCCATGGAGAAGTAGTCAAGGCCCGTGGTCTTAAGACCGCCAGGACTTAAGCCAGACCGAAGTGAAACTGGTGCATGTTGTCGACTAGCACAAGCCGGGGAGGTTGGGCGACCACAGTGAGATTCGAACTCACGCGTATTGATTGTCCCACGTCAATACGTAGCCAGATGCTAACCACTGCGCCATGTGGCCGGAAATGGGATGGAGGGAGCTGCAATAATCGTACGCATGCTGTGTAACGTGAGCAGTCTCTATCGTATACTTGCGCAGCATCCGATAACTGCTCCGGCGGAAGATGGGAACGCAGTAAGAATCATTGAAGTAACATCATGATCCAATACCGACGATCAAGCAACCACATTTCCAGAACCACCACACCCACTCCGGGTAAAATACCTCTTCCAATTGATTTTCTTCGAACCTCAATGGCTATATTTCGCGATCCTTTGACTCGACTCGAAGGGGGAAAAGGGGGGGAGGGGGGGCGCACTGTAAGATATTGGTTGCTTACTGTAAGCCCTTTCCTGCAGCGAACGATGCGACAGTATGTGCGGACTGAGCCTCCAATTGAGGAGGCTACCGGACCCTCGTCACTTGCCTTCCCCGCGAAGAATCCATTCTGGCATAGGTCTATGATAAGAATCTTTGTATGACGCGTTAACACGTTCAATATTGTCGGAGTTCTGATTATATATAGGCGCACGACTATAAACAACCCATGATTCCACCTTTGAAATTCATGGGATCTGGACCTTGGCGTACTCCTATCCTGAAGATATATCGTGGATTGAACTTATAAATACCGAGCTTTAAATTTTTGATTTCTTTTGGTTACCGAGATGGCGTCGTTTTCTCCCACCGTAGCAACCCTTGCGGTGGTTTCTGGCGTGGTCCTCCACCTCTTCTACTTCAACCGAGGGGAGCACCACATGTATGGCATTAGATATCTGCAGGCCTTCGTGACTACTTTTCTTGTAGCAGTTGGTATTCTCATGGGTGTTTACGACGTTACTCTGAAATCATCACTGGTTATCGTCAGTTTGTGCACCGGGTACGTGTCCATTGGTCTATTCGGGAGTCTCCTGTTCTACCGACTATTCTTGCATCCTCTGAAGGGCTTCCCCGGCCCCCTCGGCGCCCGCATCAGCAGCCTGTGGCTCACACTGCAGAACACGGATTCCAAGAACCATTTGGTATGCCTGGACTTGTACAACAAGTACGGGCCGTTCGTCCGCGTCGGGTCCTCCGAGCTGATGATCGTGCACCCCAAAGCCATGCCCGCGCTCTACGGGGCCCAGAGCGCCTGCACCAAGGCCGCGTTCTACGATGCGGACTACCCCCGTCAGACCATCCACATGACGCGTGACGCCAAGCTGCACCATGAGCGCCGTCGAATCTGGAGCCAGGCCTTCAGCGACCGGGCCCTAAGGGGCTACGAGAGCCACTTAAGCGCGTATAATGCGGCGCTTGTGTCACGGTTGGCCGAGTTCAAGGGCGCACGGGTCAACGCACCGCGGTGGTTCAACTACTACAGCTTCGACGTGATGGGGGACCTGGCTTTCGGGCGGGACTTCGGGATGCTCAGCAGCGGACAGCAGCACTGGGCGACCGGGCTGCTGGAGGACGCGTTCGCGATCCATGGGCTCAAGCTGCCAGTGTGGGTGTTCCGCATGCTAACGGCGATACCGGGTCTCACGAGCAAGTACTGGACCTTTATCGAGTACTGCGACCAGCAGCTGGAGGCTAAGATCGCCGACGAGCGGCGGGGCGTGACCGAGGGCCGCGACAGAGATGACCTCATGTCACTACTGATCGCACATGCCGACGCGCACCCCTCCGAGACAGAGCGCTTGATGCTCCACAGCGAGTCGCGCACCGTCATCGTCGCCGGCAGTGATACTACCGCCGCCACGCTGTCGCACATCTTCTACTGCCTCGCGCGGTACCCAGAGCATGTGGAGCGCCTACGGCGTGAGTTGTTGCCGCTCACGGACAACGGCTGTTCGTTCGAGCACCTGAGGAGTAAGTAATTCTGATTACCCCTCATGCCCTATCCCGGCTGGTTGTATGAGCTTTCATCCCTGAGGCGCCGTCTCAAGAGTGAAAATATGGGGGCGAAGGCTACTCAAACTTGGCAATCACTGACTCCATATGCGTATTATAGTCCAAAACGCAGAGCACCTCAATGGGGTCATCAACGAGGCGCTGCGGCTGCACCCAGTGCCACCGACGCTACTCCCGCGCAAGACGCCACCAGAGGGGATCCATATAGACGGGACGTTCGTGCCGGGGAACATGGATGTGTGGGCGCCGACGTACGTCCTGGGGCGCTCGGAGATGGTGTACGAGCGGCCTGGGGAGTTCATCCCCGAGCGATGGTATTCGCAGCCGTCGCTGGTTAAGGACAAGGCCGGGTTCGCCCCGTTTTCCCTCGGTACGAACAAGAGAGCCAATATATTATAATTAATCAGGAATCTAACCTCAACTTCTAGGCCCGTACGGATGCATCGGACGCCCGCTGGCGCTGCTACAAATCCGGACACTGATGGCACAGATCATCATGAGGTTCGACATCGAGTTTCCGCCGGGCCAGGATGGTTCGTGGTTCATCGAGAATACCACGGACCGGCTCACGTGGGGACTAGCGGACCTTGATCTCTGCTTCAAGCCACGGAATTAGTGCAGCGATGAATGCTTTAGTTGCTTTACGGGTCGAATAAGAAAAGATTGGTAGTATTGCCCCTATGCGGTTGAAAAGAGATGATAGATTAAATTGTCGTGGTGAAGTTTCAAGTCTTCGCTTAAGCGGTTCCATGTTAGGTCCGCGTTTACAAGATCACTTGATTATTACTACATCGTGTTCGAATACACCCGGTTTATGAAGATAGGTACCTATATGCATAATGTTATAGATCACATTCATTGCACTTACTAGTAAGGGGCGGGCGGCAGGATCAGATCAGCCCGTGGTCATGCCAGAAAGTCTCGATGGTAGATCGAGCACCATGACACACGACTCGGTTGACGTACTCCAGAGGTTGTCTTCTTAAGCCAGCCATGTGTGTAAAGGTGTCACGAAGCGTTTCGATAGTATGCGCGCTTTCGTCTCTAAGAGATAGGTAAGGTTAAGTACTTAGATAAGTAGCAACTCCCGTGCCCCGCGATATCCGATCTCGACGGGCCGGGACCAATGTGATAGTGTGCGGGCTTACACCATCGCGTACTAGTAGATACGATGGATAGATTGAGGGGTGGGAGTTGCCAAGCGATGAGACAGCGCGGAACCCGGGTTGCGGAAGCAGAAGACGTCACTTGATCACTTTCCGATTCCAGATATGCAGACCGCCCTAAATGGGAATCTATTTCCGGATTTGTTGGGGGGAGGGGCAAGTTTCTGCTTCGTGGTAATGTAGACACACGCACATGTAACAGCGCAACCCCCGTGTTCCGGCTGCTGGATGTCCACAGAAGTTTCACTTAAGAGGTTTTCGGATTGGGGCTGAAGATATTGAAGTACAGAGAATAATGGCGGAATGGTGAGAGAAGACAAGAACGTTGAAGGAAAAGAAAGAGGGGGAGGGGGGAGATAAAGTCTTGGAATTGACTCCCCGGAACTATGTACCTAGGTAGACGTACCCACGTAGCTAGATACATAGTCTGTGTAGCATGAAAAAAAGCTAGGGAAGATCTTGCAGACAGTTTATGTGGAGCTTAGCACCTACATTGATAGAACAAGACCCTTAAAACAATGCACGGTACAGATAGTGTAATTGGAAGTGAACTCTTTTTTTTTTTTTACGGTTTCTGTTGGGAAAACCCCCTCCTTTAACCCTTTCGTGCGGTTGACTTCCAAAATGACTTTCCCCTAGTGTACGACTAACAACCTACACTAGGTATAGCATGATCGGCAATTCATAGAGCCCCGAGACACGAAAAAAAAAACCTCTCGGAAATTCATAGACATAGAAGAGGTTGCTTACTATGATACCAAGACAGAGGATGTGAGTATAACAATACGGACCTGCCGTGAGTTGAGTTTCTTTTTTTTCTGTTTCTGTTTCTGTTTTTGTTTCTCTTCGTGATTATATATGATGTAGGTAGACCTACCTGCTTTATAACCTTCACGTCATTTATTGTTCACGAAATTATCTTGCCGCGTAGGTCTGGTAGGACTTATGCGTCAGCATTGCGGGTAAAGAGTACCTACCTAGGTGTCACAAGGGCGATCATTTACAATCATTACGCCCCTGTCCCCCTCGCACCCTGCGCTCGGGTGCTCGGCCTTATACCGAGGTTTGCGAGGATGTCATATACTAGGTTAGGTAAGTCTGGTACATAGATAGGTCAAGTGGTCCTTAAGCCTCTTATTTGCGGCTGCATCGGGGGATGTATCTTGCCGCTTTTCTTTTCTTTCCTCTCGCCCTTACATGTCGTAATCGGCACGTAAGTTACCCCCAATCGGCAAGTTGATACCCCAACTTATCCGTCCCAACCGACTTCGAGCAAGATGGTGGTGGCTCCGAGAGACAACAACTGACTTGGTGATTAATACCCGTTAGCGAACAATGATCCCCTACCTAGTACTAGGTAATCCCAATGAGTTTTAAAGTTACGCGAGTGAAAGCAAGTTGACAATATCTACCTATCGCGTATGATAAGAAGTCGTGCTTAACTCGGGAACAGTTGAGGTACCTAACAGATATCCAGCTATGTTACATGCCTCGGAAAGGTATATAGATTGGGTTCGTAGGGCTCTTTCTCGTCAACAAAAAGGGGTTTGTTAGGTCGGACCAAACATGGGTAACCCTAGATCGATCGAGCCGCCTTGATTGGGCTCTGTCCATTCTAGAAGGGACCCGCTCCTAAAAACCGCCATGACCCCCGACCCAGGAAGTCCCAGCTGTGCTCCACCACGACCTCGACGGCCAATCACATTACATGATGTACTCTCCAACTTTTTTCTGTTGAGAGGTACCTCGAGCTGTGTGGACCCCCTGGAATGTCAAGATGCAATTTGCGCCATCGCCTTGTACACCACAGTCCAAGCCGCGGCTGCTTTGTACAAGACATATGGATTAAGCCATGGTCTAACACATGATTGGCAACTGCCATTAAACAGAGAATTCCCAGTCTTCCCTTCTTAATATAATTTTTATTTCGCTTTCATCTATTTTTCTTCCTCTCTCTCTCTC